CTCATGACGTCTTATGAAATCTTTTGAAGTCTCATGAAGTCTCATGAAGTCTTTTAAAGTCTGTTAAAGTCTCTTGAAGTCTCTTGAAGTCCTTTGAAGTCTCTTGAAGTCTAATGAAGTCTCATGAATTCTTCTGGAAGTTTTGAAAAACACTTAGTGCATGAAAATCCATAGGAAATCAATGGAATGTTCTTGTTTTCGATGGTCTTATTCTAGCAGAAAGGCGAACCTTTTATTGTTTTTTTTTCAATGTGCTGGAAAGAAATTCAAGTTTATTGAATCTTAGAAAACATGATAGTTAATAACTGAATGCTTTTTGAATGGAGTGGCTTATTTTCATAAGAAATGTTCCATCCATTCAATGTCAATCTTATGAAGAATTTTATTCCTTTTTGTTTGTTTCTATCACTCATGAAATCTATCAGACGATAAATGGCTAGCTTTGTCGGTCAATAACCTACAAGCCGTTCGCTTGTGTATAAATTTAGTCTTGTTATTTATTTGCACCCGAAAATAGGAGTTTTTCATTGCTGGATTAATCGAATCAAATATAAGCATCCCAGTAAAGTTTATTTTCTCAGTTTTAATTTCATCACCGCTTTGTATCATTGTCACATCTTTATCCTAGATATAGATATACTGCGAGAAACAATTCTCAGAAACAAGAAATACTTTTCTAATCACTATATGATAAGTTTTGTTTTTTGCATGTTATAGAAGTTTCATGTAATTACTATAAGGTTTTTTGATATGCATGGAATCTGCCTCTTGAAGTCTTGTGAAATCTTGTGAAGTCTTATAAATTCTCAAGAAGTCTTACAAAGTCTGTGAGGTCTCACAAAATCTATGAAGTGTCATGAAGTCCGTGAGGTCTCACGAAGTCTGTGAAGTCTCCTGAAATCTTTGAAAGTCTTTTGAAGTTCTTTAAAGTCCCATCAAATCCTATGAAGTCTTGTGGAGCCATTTGAAGTCCAATGAAGTCTCCATAAGTCTCCATAAGTCTTTAGAAGTCTTTAGAAGTCTTGTGAAAATACAAAGTCACTGTGATTGAAGTCCGTTGAAGTCTTGAAGTCTGCTGTTTCCCCCTTGGATCAATTACACTACGGCGGCCGTATCCGCAAGCTCCCGAAAAGAGAGATTATATTCAATTTTTTGAGGGATGACGAAGCAAAGCGCTTTCGCGACACCATTGTGAACACGTGCCATACCCCTTGAAAATTCTACTAAAAATCCGTATGCTTACTAGCACATCGCCCGACAATGTTGTTTGCTAGAGCATCGCTAGAAAAATACAAGTTCAGTTGAACTTCTAGCTTAAAATAAATTATATAAAATCTGATCTGTAATTCGAATATCATACTTGAAAGAAGCTCCTACTCGAGGCAGTCGCTGGATTCGACAGATAATTTGAATATACCCGTATATATTCCCGCACGTGAATGAACACAAACAAGAACACATACCAACAGAAAAACTCCCTCTTATTTCATTCATATCTACTTTCGATACGGCGAATATAAGTTCTTTCAGTGATGTTTTCCGTGAAATGTACTATTCAAATATTATACACGTGCAGAAAAGCCATTCTCACACTTTATTTCAAATTATTTCTCAGTTCTTTGCCACTGCCAACCCCTATCCAAATCCATCAGATATACACTGTTGACATTTATCCGATGAATCCCAACAGCCTGAAGCTTTCTTTCAGGGAATTTTTCAGTGCAGCGACTAGTCGCTTGTTAGTGCCCCTTTGGGGTGCCACTCGCGACTAGCCGCTGCCACGTGTAATCCTATTCTCCCACAAGATCATCCTCTTTGATTTATACTCTATCAAATTCCAGGCTGCTCTTACTTCGGCAAGTAGTTAGATTTATAACATGAGAATTCTCGATGGGCAGTCTGGAATTGGCACTTTGTTATGAACTATTCCTTATTTCTTCAGCCTAATTGTCTAGCTGAAAAGTCACAGTTTTATTAGAATTCCTGATTAAGAGAATCTTAGTGCAGTATTCTCAATAAACCTAGCTTTCATACAGATCTTTTCCGGAACGTATGTCGAATGCGCTTGCAATACCAGTGACTAGTCGTTCGTCGGCGCGCATGCGGGGTGCCACTCATGGCTAATCGCTCCATTATTTGAATACATGAAAGTAATAGTTCGTTATTCTCTATGTACCGTAAAAGTTGTGACCTCATTTACAAATACCGTTTTACATTGGCTTTTTCGAGTTAAGACCTCTAATTGGCTGGAATTTCAATATGAAAAAATCTGATTGGTTGAAAGCCCAATATCGAAAGCCCCTGATTGGCTGGACTTCTGGGCTGAAAGAATCTGATTGGTCAAAAGCTCGAGCTCGAAAATATCTGATTGGCTGGAACCCTGATCGAAAAAATCTCATTGGTAGCAAGTCTGACATCGAAAATCCTTGATTGGCTGACTATCCATATTGAAACAATCTAATTTTCCAATCCGTTGTTTTTTTGACCTTTGACCTTTGACCCTGACAGCCACCCACATACACACAAACTTTTTTTTTCATATGCCCCTCCCTACAGTCGAGGGAATAACGAGAAAATAATTAAACAAAGATTTAAATATATAATTTTAGAACGCTTCAAAATAATTAGTTCGGTTCGATTTCCTACTTTTTCAGTACTTTTATCGATTCTCAGAACTGATATTAACATGTAATTGTTAGTTATAATTGACTCTGAATTCTTAGAATATACAGTCTAAACTTTTTACAAAATATCGGAGAAAATATGCATATTTACCTGCTCCCTGCGGTCCAAAAACACCAAAATTGTAACACTTGTAGTCGAGACCGAGCTCTTTTGCAGCTTTCACCATACCTTTTTTCTTATAACCTGGTGGAGGTTTTGGCATACCAATTGCATGCATTGCGGAAGCATTTTTGGCTCTCTCAATAGTGTCAAGCGCATTCACAACTATAGAAACCAGAGCCGCTGTAGCAGCCACACTAGCTCCTATTATCACAATCGGTACAAGGATTAGAGGGACCACCATTATGAGTTATTCACTTAAGAAATGCTGGATTTATGCAAGCAATACATAAAATAACAAATATGCCAATAGAAAAATGTACCCAATTTTGATTATCTATATTGGAAAGAAACAAAAATAAGCAAGAATTTATATGCGAAGGTAATAAAGGGACACAATGATGGGACAAAGGTTTTTTCCAACAAAATTTTAGCTTTTTATCTCTTCCTTTTTCGCGAAAACTGCTTATCTTTCATAGAGCAAACAGTTATCAAAATCTAATGTGTCAGTGTCAGTATCGCAAATACGTAATGATGCAAAATAATAAGCTAATGCGAATAGTAAAGAAATTATTGTCTATTTATGAAAAAACAAACAACTTTGGAACGTTAGAAATTATGACTTCCGTCTTATTGAATTTGATTTCTCTTAACTGCGATATGTAAAATTAGGACTGGAGAAGCTCATCATATAATTTGTACATTGTTAAAGCCATTGGTGTGTGCACGATTTTTACGAGCGAAGCGCGTCGAAGGGAACTGGGGGCGATCATGGTCAAAAAACGTATTTTCGAGTCCATTAGAGGTAGTATCGGCTCGTTGTTGAACCTTTTCTGCTGGAAGAAATGGGAAAATGTTTTTCTAGAACAGGGGCGATTGCCCCCAGCGTCCTCTGGACCCGCCATTGTAAATCAAGAAGACATCAGGCCAATTCCAGAATGACAGTTATATGTATTTTGCAATAATTTAAAGAGTTATATAGAAATAATAAAGCTTAGTTAGATTGATTACATTTTATGAGGGACTACCGGAATTTATTTTTCGGGATTTATTTTTTCTAGCGGACTTATTTCTTTATTGAGGATTTATGGTGATTTATTAATATTAATACTATCCCAATATACTCACATCAACACCCGCACTCACTTTCACACTTATACCCACACCCACACCCACCCTAAATGAGAGTTTCACAACCGGGATGACATAACATTGTGTACTAGTAGTGCTTTCGTTTTATAATTGCAGATGATTCTAAATAAGGCATGACAATTCAGTTTGTTTCTTTTCTTTCTAGATCGACAGAAAATGCAGAATTCTGAAGAATTTAATAAAATCGATACCAAAATGTTCGCTTTTTCTTCGCCATCTTCTTCTTCTTCAATACCGATACATATTACTAACTTTCCTGCTGCTGTATTTTCTCAAACACTATCAACACATAGATGTCAGAACAACGAAAGTATTACATTGATTTGGTAGATTCCAAAATAGAAAGTAAAGAACCGGAAAGAATGCAAGAACTAAGAGAAATTAATGATTATGTAGTATATTATACCAATAACCAAGAATGTATTAATTATATTACATCAATTAAAAACGAGAGAATATTACTTGTCATTATATTCGAATAATGTGCTCGTTCATTTTTAAAACAAGTTCATTCGTTGTCTACAATTGATTCCATATTTATCTTGTGTTTAGAACCATTAGACAATAATTTTCAACATAATCTGCTAGAGAAATATGGTAGTCGAATTATCGGTGTATTTCGTGAAAGACATGAACTAATCGACTCTATTAAAAAACGTGTGACATTCATAGAGAAACAGTCGCAAAAATTCAGTTTCTGTAATCAAAATTGTGAAAAATCGATGAAAGATTTAACAAAAGAATTTCCTGACTTCTTGTGATTTCAAATGTTTAAAGATGTTATTCTACAAATGCCCAGAGACGCACACGCTAAACAACAATTAGTTGAATTCTGTCGCTTATATTACCACGGAAATACACATCAATTAGAATTGATCGATAAGTTTGAAGAAACATATTCATGCACTTTAAATGCTATTCAGTGGTACTCAGAACAATCTTTCGTTTACAAAATTATTAATAAGGCTTTACGTACCAAAAACATCGAACTATTGCATACATTTCGTTACTTCATTTCCGATCTTTCATTGAGTTTAGCCTCCACGTATGAGTACCAGCAAAATATGATTAGACAGCAGCAGGAGTACAGAACAGACGAACCAGTTCTAACACTTTATCGTGGTTGTCAATTACCCAATGATGAATTTGAACGCATACAACAAAATATTAGAAATTTAATTTCAATAAATGGCTTTCTCTCTACGAGTCGTTCTAAAGATGTTGCACTAATCTACACTGGTACCTCTAATGACAATGTGCATCAACCTATTCTATTTGAGATTGAATTAAATTTAAATGAATTATACAATTCTATAATTATTGTTGATATAAGTACCTATAGCAAGTTTCCTGACGAAGAAGTTTTATTTGATTTGGGTGCTGCATTTAAAATTGTCTCGATTGAAGAAGACAAGGATTTAAAAGTGTGGCTCATTAAACTAAAAACAACGGATGAAGGTACAAATTTAGTGACAGAGTACATTGAACTCAATCGCAAAGAAAATGATGAGACTAGTGCCGTGATTATGTTTGGAAATCTTTTAATGGGCATGGGGAAACTCGATCAAGCACAAAAATACTTCGAAGCATTATTAGCAAATGATCTGCTACGACAAGAAAAGGACGAAGCACGAATTTATAACAAGTTAGGTAATGTATACTATAATAAAGGTGAACTTGGCAAGGCACTTCAAAGTTACCAGCGTGCCTATGATCTGATGGTGTATTGCGATCCTCCACGTATTAAGGATTCAGCTGAGCCATTAAATAACATTGGCAGTGTTATGTGTGAAACAAAAGAAGTTGATAAAGCACTGCAATCCTATTTCAAAGCATTAGAAATCGATGAACAATCTTTCGGTAAAGAATCGTTAAGAGTAGCAATTACTCTACACAGTATTGGTTTTACTTATGAAGAAAAAAAAGATTTTCAAAGTTCATTAGATTACTATGAAAGGACATTAAAAATTCAACAGAAACTATTGCCGAATGATCGTGTTGATATTGCAAGGAGTCTAAATAATATTAGGACTGGTTATCAGAGAATGGATGAATACGATCGTGCATTTGAGTACCATATAAAAGCATCGCAAATGCGACAAAAATTACTACCAGAAAAACATGATGATATAGCAGAAAGTTTTCATAACATTGCTGAAGTACTTCGTGATCAGGGACAATTAGATGAAGCACTCGAATACTATTTTAAAGCGGTTGAAATACGTGAAAACATCTTTGGTAATTCAAATGGACATCTTAATCTCGCCATGACACTACATAACACTGGAATGACTTACAAACAAAAGAAGGATTACGTTCATGCACTTGAATACTATCAACGAGCGTTAGAAATGAATCAGTGTTTATTAAAACCATCAGACAACCAACCTGAAATTTCAGAATTAAACAATTATATTGCTCGAACAAGGTGACAAATGAGTGAATAAACATAATTTTCTAGACTGAAAGGCTAGGATCTGCAAACGCTAAATAAATCGTTTATGTCTAGTTGTCTGTCTGAAGAGTGTCGTGTGAATAGCGCGTGTACGAGGGTGTGTGGGTGTTAGAGGCTTCGCTCTCACAATGGGTCCTCTGTTTTCATCTGTTTACTATTTCGTCTTTGATTTCATATAGATCGATATTAATTTTTTCCCTCTCTTTTTTCCCTCGATGTAATATCTTGCGATCATATTATCTTCTTTTTGTTGTATTCGTTTTTCTCTTTCGTTTATCCTGGATGTGCGGGTTGAGATATATATTAGACATGTACCAGACCCAAACTCAGACCCAAACCGTTTGAGAGTTTGGGTTTAGGTTCAATATTAAGATTAATGGAATAGTTTGTTTTTGAACTTAGGTATTTATCTTGTTTTCTTTCTATAATTGGTACTCACTCGTGACTACTACATAAAGACATATTATTTAAAATTATTAAATTAGATTGGAAGGGTATATTATTTATAACTTTTAATAAGCTATCTGGGCGTGATACTTATAACTTTTTGAAGATCACCTGAGGCTCCTCAATAAAACTGTAGCACAGCGATCTGAAGATGATGCGTTGAACCATTCGAGAGTACTCGTTTTCGAAAGTGAATGTGTAATCTTTGAAATGTCACGCATTTCCTGAAGACTTTAACGGATTTTAAAGAACCACCAAGATTTGAAAATATTTAATAGATCTTCGTGAAACTTCATGCAATTCTAAAAAGACTGCAGAAGATAGGTGAAAAATCTTGCGAAGTTTCATAAGATTTCCCCAATCTACATGAAAGTTGACTGGTCGTGACGACCGAAGTTTCGATCTTATTCAGAGCGTTACAAGTAACATTTTTCGTTATACAGTAGAGTTCAAAATATTGCAAGCAGCGTTCACAGGTGGCTCTTGAACGGTTTCATGTAAGAGACTGAAATGAATAGAGGAATTTCGATTCGGATTCGATTCGATTCAGTTCATGTTAAAAAAAACCAACAATTTCTTCCTTGTCATAAGTAGAATGCATGCTCATTCTGCATAAAGTTTCAGTTAGGTTTTGTATATCCTCATGATAAATCTACGGATTCAGAGATATTCAGAATGCTTCAAAGAAGAGAGCGCGGGTGGAGGTGTGGGTTGGGTGTAGGTATGCCTGTGGCTGTGTTGGTATGGAATGTGGGGTGTAGGGTGTGTGGGTACTTGTATAGTGCTTATTTCATGCCCACAACCACCCACATTCACGCTCTCACAGCTTCGAGTTTAAACTGTCAGTAGAGCCTCTAATATCAAATAATATACAAAGAGTTCTTCTATCGGATTCACATTCACTATAATAAAGTTCGTTCTTCGCATCCACGATTCTACAAAAATCAAAATAGAGAAGTCTGTATGATGCGATCATAACGGAAAACTAATAAAAGATGTCAGCAGAGAATACTAAATGCGGATAGCCATGAGTGAGAGATAAGTGGAGAGAATGCAATTTACCCTGTTTTTGCGCAAAGGATTCGCACATCAATAAAGCAAGCAAGGAAAGACGAAGACAAAAAATAAATAATGATGAATAGAAAATCGTTCGGCATGCTGACTGATCCGATGAGGATGAATGGACGGAGTAAGTAGTATAAAGAAAGGAATGGTGCATTGTCGGTCGATAGGTAAGGATGAACCGAAAGGAAAGTGAAGGGAGACAAATGTCTTTGAAGGAAAGCCAGTAGCGCAGATGACTAGATCATTCTCTCTGTAACGGAGAATTGAGAATAAACGAATGTTTCTCTCTCGATATTAACACACATTATACTTATATATCTATATATAACTGACTCTCTCCATAGGACACACTGAATATATGACTTGCACACCAACATATATACCATCCAAGAAATATGTGTAACCTCGAGTGAGCTGTATCCTTCACACTGCGCAATATCTATGGAAAATATTCTCGATTGTTCTCTTCTCTCTCCTTCTCAACGATTTATCCTTGCATCTGTTTGATGCGATAATCTCTCGAAGTGAAAAGAGAACAATGAACATATATACAATGAATAGCGCAGCGGTTACAAAGATATTGAAAGAGTATTGAACACTATGAACAGTATTACGTAAAGATACAAGATTAACATCATACAAGGATAATATGAAGTAAGAGTAAAATAACGTAAGGATGATGTCACATACTGGTGATAGCATATCACATCGGTGTATCTCTTGGCACAATTTCCTCTGTCCAACCCGTTATTCATCTTGGGTATATCTTGGAATTTCAAGTGAAAATAATGGCAGTCGAAGAGTTAGCAATGATTGCCATTGATCGAGTCAATATCAAAGATATCTTAAAACATTTGAATTATGACCAAAACAAAGATGGCAATAAAACAATCTTAGACATTATTGAATTGATTATCAAAGATCAACATTTCGACGACAAGATCTTTTACAATGATGAGGCAATTAAAATGAATTAACTATTAGAACGAGGTGGTGGTCCGTTGATTGCAGAATATGTTCAAATGTGGAAATGTGATTTAGATGATCCTAGACGAGCTAGTGTTTTGGTGAATGCAGCTGTCATACGATACTCACCTCTAACACAATATCAGCTATTCTCTTCTTTATCGCTATCGTTATCTCATTATATTTATAAAACGGTAGATTCAGTCGTTACACAGTAACACTGCCAACACAAATTATTCTGAATTCATCACAATGGGTGGCGACGTCATTGGAGACATTAATTATTATAGTTCTACGACAGATGGATGTTCTCCTTGGATAATAGCGTCTTCAATATCAACGACAATGAGATCAAATATTGTACAAGCACCTATTCCTGTAACCGTCCGGGACTTACGAGGCAAAGAAAATAGCGTCAATCTCGACGCGAACGGTCTCGAAGTAGCCAAATACAACGGCTCTATACAAGAAGAATTTGAAGAAGGTAGCAACGCTCAACAAACTTATTATGAAGAAATTAAGGATTATCTCAAGAAGCGACTCGGTGCCTCTCGCGTGATTGTGTTTAATTATTCTTATCGTTATCGAAGCTCGCCACTAACCGACGAGCAGTGTAATGACAATCACAGAAATGCTGTTTTTTATCCTCATATTGATATTAGAGAAGCTGGAGTTCAAGAATTTGTGAAGAAAATTCTTGGCAAAGAAGAAGTGAAAAAGCAATGAAAAATCGAATTCAACTGATTAACGTTTGGCGTCCATTAGGTTTCAATCCAATCACACACAAGCCATTGACAATTTGTGATTATCGCTCAATTGACGTCGATAAAGACGTTCATCCATTCACATTTCATGCAGCCGATCATCAAAATCCAGCCAATACTATTTGTCGCAATGCTCAAGATGCACACATATGGTACTATTTGAGCGAAATGCAATCTGATGAGATGTTTATCTTTAAAAATTTCGATAACAAGCCTGATGTCGCTCGATTTGCCTTTCATACGGCTTTTATAAATACAAATGCGCCGACGCCGACTGAAGAGCAGAAAAGTCTTGAAATTCGTTGTTTGATTTTATACGAAGATTAATATTAGCAAAGTTTTGTCACTGAATTAGATTATTTAATGTACAG